TCTATGGAATGTTCTTCTTTGGGGAGCAAATTTTCCAACTTTGCTGAAGAATGTCCAGCAATTGGAGAGTCTGGGGCAGTGTTTCTCAACCTTGGAAGCTTTCAGATGGGTGGACTCTAACTCCCAGAATTCCCTAGTCAGCATGCTGGCTGGGGAATTCTGGGAGTTGGAGTCCACCCATCTGAAAGTTGCTAAGGTCAGGAAACACTGGTCTGGGGTATATTATAAGGATGTGGTATAGGCGATCCCTTGAAGTGAAAGTACATACCAGAATCCCCTGCAAGGCACAGAGGTGTCTCCCAATGAAGCCAATATGGAAGGCATCCTGAGACGGTGATATCTGAATACTACCGAGAGGGTCTAGTGGTGCTTAAAACCATCCCAAATTCTTTTCTGTTTCTGTTCACCATTTGGGTCTGGTTGTTACAGCTGACCCACCATGGGGCTGCAGGAAATATTAAGATATTTCATTGGCAGTTTATTTTCATTTTATTTATTATATTTGTATAGCCACCCATCTCACAAAAAAGTGACTTATACTTGCTATTATCGGTCTAAAGGGTTTAGGATGAAAGATACCATACATATCAATCCATAACTAGGTATACCCATCTCATGTCTTCTCACCAGCATCAGGCATGTGTCCCATCATCCACCGGTACATTCCTCGCGATTCCAAAGCCTTCATCCCCATACCCCGCTCCAACAGTTACGCAGTCCTGTGCAGAGTGAACATCTCCTCATCCCAGTGTGAGTGGGTCTTGATCGCCAACAGAGGACGCTGTTACTACTTCAACCTGGGCCTGAAGGAACACCTCATCCTCCACCAGATGGGCCTTGTTGTCATGCATATGAAGAAGGAGCTGGAAGGAGAGTATCAGGTCCTCTCTGGGGTAAACCGGACCTGCCAGGGACGGGTCTTGATGACAGCTGTAGGTAAGAGTCTCTGGGGTAAGGAAGAGGGGAATTGCTAGATAACGTGATGGCTGACTTTTTGATTAGGGTGCTCTATAAAGAGATACAGTATGATGCTTGTGGAATGCTCTAGATATGATGCTTTAGCTAGGACTGGGAATGATGATAAGTCCTCAGCTATGAAATTCTCTGATTGACCTCAAAGCAGTGATTTTTGGCTGTATCCATGCAACATGGCCACATTTACCCAAATGCTAGGCCTGGTTAATGCCGACTTTAGACGGTGAGGTGTTGTAGCTCAGCATATTATGCAAACCCAGCCCCTTTGGCTAATTTATGGTTCCATGTATTGTTTGGAACCTCCAAATGGGTTGATTGAATAATCAGGTTAATCATGTTGTGGGAATGCAGCTAAAGAAACAATTACAACACTACTTCACCACTCACCCAACCTGAGTACACAAAAATTGAAATATCCAAACTAATAGAACTCATTGACTTCTGCCTCCCCACATTCTTTCAGTTTGATGGGCAAATTTGCAAAGTAATGAAAGGGATTCCTATGGGATCCTCTGTCTTAAGACTCATAGCAGAAGCAGTGATGCAACAACAGAAATTATAGTACTTCTGTTAATACAACCCTAAATATGAATAGTCTATGTCAGTGTTTCTCAACCTTGGCAGGTTGGGTGGACTTAACTCCCATTCAGAGATATTATTCTGGAGGGGGGAAAAAAGATAATTCAGTCTTACAGAACAATTTGTGCTTCCTCGCTATGTCCTCAGAAAGCTGGCTTGTTAGAAATTATGACTCAGAAGACTTCTCCTTCTCCTGATGCTTTTGTCAATACTAGGGCCGCTATTTCTTTATCGGATTTTCCTGCTGATCCCCGGCATCATGTTCCTGTGCGGACTGGGCCTGCTGTGGGACTGGCTGATCAAAGCCCGTAGCCGCCTGGCCACCTCCGAAGAGGAGCAAAACGCTAACCAACGGATCCAGCGGGTCCTCCCTCCCTTGGATCTGGGTGCCCACCCGTGACAGAAACTCAGCCTTTTTTTCCCATTCTCTAAGGAGGCGGCACCAATGTGACCTGGTGCTCATTTGCTCTGCATGGATGGCTTGTAAATATCCCTTGACTTTTGCCGTTGTCCTGCTTGAATCCTGATTTTTGGTTCATTTGTTTCAGAGGTTCTATTTAATAAAGAATTGTAAACCTAACAGATTTCGGGGCTGGATAGCGCCTGCTTGTTTGATGTTTGGAGCTCAGGCATTTGATATAGTGCTCTCAGTGTCACTCTGGACTGGGTTCATAGTAACTGAGGGCCAAACCGTCTTAGAATCCATGAGGAGTTAGCCAGGACCTTTTGATCATGTAGGAATCCAGTTTAAACTATCCTTGATTGATGGCAGTCCAGGTTCTGTGGAACACAACCCGTGAAAGGAGCCCACCAGCAAAAGCGTCTGCAGAGAGGGTCAAAAATGTCATGGTGGCAGCTTTGGTCACATGGACATGTCCATCATACTGACATTTTTTACCCTCCTATGGACAGACCTGCCTACCCCCTCTCTGGGTCATTGACCCAATGTTAAACTGCTGTTTTAGGAACTTTTTTCCAACAATCTGAATCTGCTTTCCTATAACTTCAATCTGTTATTCCACAGGCTGAACTTTAGAAGATGATTCTTTTCAGGTACCCGAAGAATGCTAGCATGCCTTCCTGCTGTGGCCTTCCCCCCAGTTGAAATACACCCAGTTCACTTAATCTTTTCTCATCAGACTTCATTTCCAGTCCCCTGCTAATCTTCATGGTCCTTCTGTGCACTTTAAAAATAATGGTAAGCAGTGCCTGCAGAGAGGTTGACCATGTAGAAATAAACTCCTTCCTCTTGCTATAATACCAAATGAAAATCCTTTCTTAGATTTGTTGCAGAAGGGGGAAAAGCTTGACTGATGTTTTTTTAAAGAACGGCACACTACTCATGACATAGGGCCTGGCTATTTGAGGGACCACCTATCTCCCCGGCCGATTCGATCTTGCAGGGTTGGTGCGCTCAGGGTTCCTTTGATTAAATAATGTCATCTATTGGGACCTGGAAGTGTGCCTTCTCTGTAGCAGTGTCTGCCTTCTGGAATGAGGATCCCACCAAGATCCAGATGGCTCCCACTCTGCTATGGTTTAGAAGAGCCGTGAAGACCTGGCCCTTCTCCCAGGCCTTTGGCAAGAGTGACTGAAACCCCGTTTGGATTGTGGGGGTCTCTTTCTCTTTGGTTCCTGTCTGGTATTTGTCATCCTTGCCATCTTTTATTCTTTTATTTTTATCTCTTATTGTATGATTTTCCTTGTTTTTAATGTTGTTACTTGTGAGCAGCCCAGAGTCATTGGGAGTTGGGTGGCATACAAATTTAATCAATAAAAAAAGTTTTTCTAAAAAATCAGCCAATTTCATGTTTAGCTTGACCCTGAGTCATCTGAAAACCAACAACTTCAAGAGGAAGACACCTGCAGGAAAATGATAGGTATAAATGACACCATCTAGGTCCTCTTCTAATTCCTCCTATATATCCATTCTGAGAAGCAGTTCCAGGCAGGTCTGGGATTTGGTTAACAGATTGCACTGAGCAATAACAGATTGATTTGATGTACAGATTGGGAATAACTGAAACAACTGAAAGTTGAGCTCAGATTGATCCAGCGCATTTCCAGCATCCAGCAGAGATACCAGATGTAGGAGGCTAACCCATTCTCCATTCTCCCATGCAGCTATTGTTTATGAGTGCTGAAAGGTGTCATCTGAACATTGTGGGTAAGTGGAGAAACGTATGAAATAGAAATACCATTGCTTGCCCAGTTAAAGCAATCTTCTAAATATGCTGGTTGGAGATAGGAGAGAAGAGATATGTGAATCTTAATTTTCCCTGGCGTGACGTTGGGGAGTTGGGCAGAAGACGACTGGAGCAGTGCATCACAAACCAAGGCATTTATTGGCACAAGCTGAAATATTTCCAAGAGGAGTGAGAATAGCAGACATAGATCAGGCTGCGTAACTCAGCTATGAGACTAGGGTGGGGATTTTGAAGTCCCACCCCCACTTTTTGTCAGGGTGATGTTCTGATATGAGCAAAGTGGGGTAGGTGGGGGAAATCTCTATATAGCTATTTGGAACACACTGGAAAAGCAAAATATCCCCCCCTCCCCAAACTCAGTATACAAGATCAAGAATTAATTCAGAAAAAAAGGGGCTTCACAATTACTGTGGCACATGGTATACATTTTTTCATGTTCTTTTCCGCTCTGGACTATGACCCAACATTTTGCTGTTATTGTTATGTGACCCCAAGTTGGTATCAGCTCTTAGCACCCATATAGGTAGACCTCCTCCAGGATGATCTGTCCCCAACCTGGTCCTTCAGATATTCCAATGATGTACCCATGGCCACTGTAATCAAGTCCATCCATCTTGCAGCTGGACATCAACTTTTTCTCTTTCCTTCCACCTTTCCAGCACTATGGACTTCTCAAGCGATCTGGGTCTTTGCATCATGTGTCCAAAATACAATAATTTGAACTTGGTCATTTGTTCCTTGAGTGAGAACTCTGAGTTGATTTGTTCGATGTCCATTTGTTTGTTTTTTCAGGAATCTTCTCCATTGCCAAAGTTCAAAGAGTCAATATGCTTTCAGTCCTGCTTCTTCAAAGTCCAACTTTTGCTTCCATAAAGGGTCATAGGGAAATCCATCACTGATTTTTGCAGATATAGACACATCCCAGCATTTGAATATCTTTACTAAGGACTTCCAAACCAAAGGCAGGAAGTATGGCTTGTTCTCATTCTTTTTGCCTGAATGCACTGAAATCAGGTAAAATCTTGCAAGCTCTATCCCCACTACTGTCTATGGTCCAAGGAATTTAAAGATATGGGAAACAGGAGGCCAAGTTAAAAAGCCGTACCTATAGAATTCTCTGTGTCAAGAACAATCATCACAAACCACAATAGTCTGATCAGGCCAGTTTCAAATCTTTGACTGATTGCTTGCAAAGAGTGAATCCAATGGGTTGTCTCTTAAAACTTCCGTTTCAGCACATCTAAATGGTTTCCTGCCCCTAATCTTTACCAGGCTCTTCTTTGCAAATGCTGCACCCTGAGCTAGGATCTCAGAGGTCCAAGTCCCACACCGAGAGGGGATGGCTGCTTTGAGTGCTGAGAAAAGGAAGCAGTTCTTCATGGAAGCATGCTTGGAAGGTGTAAAGATGGTTCATGCTACTGCTGTTATAAAAAGAGAGCTGCCCCCCTTCAAAGTCCAGGTAGACTCCAACCTTATCCATCCTCCCACAGACTGTGAGTGGTGTACGGGGTTGACTCAGAGCTTGGTACTCTCCACCCTTCAGCTCAATAGCCCACACTCCTTCCTTGGGTAGAAACCTCAGCTGCTTCTTGCGCTTCACAGACTTTTTGGCCGTCCCCACCACCCAGCCGGTGCTGTCCCCGACTCGGATCTCCCAGTAGAACTTCCCAGTGGTGATGCCCTTCCGTCCCACCACACACGGGCTGGAGGTGAAGCGCTCCGGCTTCCGTCGCCAGAACCGCCGGCCGGGACTGAACTTGACCCCGGTGGCTTCCTCCACTAGGATGAGGCTGGGATGAGCTGAATTGCAGTCCAAAGTGATGCATGCAGGGACTAGAGAGGGAAGATAGAATGAATTCAGAATGAACAAGAGTGGACTTGCGCAGGCTATTGCATGAATATAAAGTGGTGCAGAAACAATTAGACACAAATAAATATAATATTAGCAATTATCAATAGGGCTACCATCCCCAACATCTCTGAAGCTTCTCTTTGGGTGCCAGTAGGGTCATGTTTTTGTACAGCCAAAGCAAAATTTTAGAGCTAGTTCTGGTCTGCTTGCTGAAAACAGTTCCAATTTATTTCTGTAAATTAGAGATGTCATTCTGAACCTTGTGGGATTCTCTGAAGGTTGTCACCAAATTGTAGGGTTTTTTTTTTTTAAATCACACTATGCGAAAAAAATATTCACAATAGATTAATCATATTCACAGTAGTTTTAAATTCATTCGTTTTAATCAGATCAAATTTGGGATTTCATTTAATCTAATCTAATTTGGGATTTATTTATTTTTTTGGCCTTATCCCTTTATTTGTTTTGGCTGCATTTACCTATTGGGGGTAATTTCTTGGCCTTCCCATAAATTCTGCAAACCCTGTTCTAAATGATAGTAAAAATATTATTTTCCAGGAGTTATCATAGAATCTAAACTTCCAATACATCATTACATGAGGAAGCTGAAAGAGATTGCCAGGAGAGAGCAGGCATGAAAAAATCCAGAGACAGCATCTAGCAAGCCCTTTGGCAATCTACCTGTCAGGCCTAGCCCAAGGAACTCCAAGAGACAGTGCAAATTCAGTCCAGTTATGTTTA